TTAAAGTGTTAACAAAAACAAACACAGAATTAGCCTCCCTCCAACGTTCTTTTTACTAACCAGTGACAAAAAAATCTTTACAGTTTATTTTTATTGGCATTTTAAGAAGTCTTGGACCATATATTAGAAAGCTGAAAAAAATTAAGACCTCAGGCTACATTTCTGACTTAAATAACCACTTTCCCTTCAAAAATGCCAAATATCACCCTAACCTAGAAGTGAGATCCCACGAGCCATCTGTTTTCCCAAGTCTGTCTTAAATTTCTATACATGTGTAACAGTGAAAATGTTCACTGCAGAGCTCTGATTTTCTCACTTACTTTTCATACAAGTCAGAAAAAGCTCCTCACCACCAAATTTCAGGAACCCATGGAAGGGCTTCATTAAGGTGAAACATTGTCAGAAAGGAAGACAGGCTGCTAAACATTCAGGAGCAAGAGCTGGAATGAGCAATACAGAAGCTTATCTTCCCTGCAGCTTAGAACAAACTTAGCAGTTCCTGGGTGTAAAATGTTTACTTACTTTTTAGTTGGCACCACTGCACAGGGAAGAGCTCTAGGAAAATTCCCTTGAGCAAATGAAGCTTTCTGTGAACTGGCGAGAAGAGCTTACCGTCATTTGTGGACATTGCACTGTGCCTGCAACGTCTGGTAATCAAATGGGTGAGTCTGTTATATGTTGATATTGTAAAAAAATCCAAAAAGCAAGCAAATCAAACCCACGCTTATGAAACAGCTTTTATCCAGTGTAGCAGCTGCAGCTTTTGCTCTGCTCCAGCACTTGCATTGCCCTGCAATGTGTTGGATGTAGTCTGATCCTGACAATTTGTAAGTTACAGCAGCAGCACCACATGAAAGCATAAACTTTGCCTGAAACTTGACAGGAGTTTTATGGTCTGTTCAATTGGCTCTTGTTCCCTTAAATATCCCAGCTTTTGAGCTCAGTTAAACTGGTTGCCACCCGTTTCCTGCACTTTGAAATGAAACAGTTAATTAATCCGGGTTAATGGTATTAGCAGGGTCTATTACAGTACTTAAGGTAATGACACACAGCTGTACTGTGCTTCTGCCAACACCTCCCCCAACAACCAGAGTTCCAGATGTGAAGACACCTCCCAGCTGTCCAAGTGCCAGCACTTTTACTGCTGAATGCTGTTCTGCACAAACATTTAGGCTAGAAAGCACAACTTTTAAATTTGAACAGGTCTTTTTACTTTCAGAAATAAGAGTTTCACTGAAATAATTAATTTTTTTTTAAACAAGATGGTTAATTTTGGACAGTTTTGCTTTATTTCTGAGGTATCAGTTGTAGTCAGTTCACTCAGGAATCTGTAATAATATGGAGACACTGAAGAATCAGGACAATGCAGAAACAGCTGCCTGTTTATGTGAATCTGGTACTAGCATTTAATCATTTTACACTTTAAAAATCTACTATCTTTTTTTCTGGGTAGCTTGCTATTTTGTTAATTGCATAAATATAGAATCATAGAATCATAACAAGTGAGAAAAGCTTTTTGAATTTCCCACACCCACCCTAGAGAAAAAGCAAGAACATTTTTATTAGACTAGACTGTGCTGCTATGCAACACCACTAGCATGCAGAAGGTGTAAATGAAGACAGACATGAACTGTGTATGAGATAACTTATTTTATTTATTCAATTCTCAACTTAATTTTGATGCTAAAAATTGGTCAAAGGCACTTCAAAGAAGGTATTTAAGAAACAAATCCATTTGGTGACCATTCCAGACAAATCACCAACTTTTATCTGCCATTAGGAACACAAGTATCTATAATTGCAAAGTGAAACATTCACAGGTTTTAAGTGGAGCATACTGTCCAGCAGCAATATTTAATTCTTTTAGACTATTAACAACGTTTGTGGAGTATTTTAAATACAATATGGTAAAACAAAGCAAATTACACTTTTGGAGTTCCACAGAAGATTTCTTGACAGAAAAAGGACAAAGACTGCCTTTCCCAGTGGTCCTGTATTGAGGGGTCTATTTTTATCTGTGCGTGCACTATCAGCATCAGTAACAGGTATAGCAGAGAAATAACCCACACTTTTCTGTCATACAAAGACAAAACACCCTGCTCAGATAACAAAGCATTTATAACAGGTCTATCAGCTACTCAAATACTGACATTTATACTTCTGCAAGCGTGACAGATCAAATGGTAACAGCTGAAGAAAAAGTGATTTTTAATATACACCCCCACCAAAGCAAAGCAAAGACAGTGTCCTTAAAGGCAAAAGTACTGTGAAAAGAGCTTCCACAAAATGAGATGGTATAATCACCAGAGTGTAATCTCTTAAATAACACAGACTGCAAAAATTAATTGGGAGTAAAAGAAGATTAAAATTTGTCTTTTTCTGCAAACAAAGATTAATAATCTCCTCTGCAAACAAACACTAATACTATCCACTGATTAACACTAGTGATCAGATCGTAACTTCTTGCCATTGTCAATCTTTCCTGAAGTGAAATCATATTAACCACTTTCTTAAGTGAAATCACATTTAACCACAAAGTTGAAATGTTACTCTGTCACACATGGGGACACTCCCACATCCACTGCCTAGCAATTTCAAGAAAATAGTTCAAAAATTTTAGATGGGTAATTTAAATCACTGTGCCAAGGAAAGCTTTTAGGTTTTAGAAAATCAAGAAACATCTTTCAGAAACCAAACCACAGAGAAATAATCGGCATGGCCTAAGTAAGCCCACGTAGCTGTGCCTCAGGAAGTCTCTCCATCTGAAATACAGTCTCCTTGGGCTGCAAAAATTCTCAAACTCAGCAAATACTTTCTCAAAGCACAAAGATCTGATAGTGAAATAGCAGACTACTAATATTAGTGTAATATTGTATAGTATAGGTGGACTTTGAGTCCTAGTAAAATATCTGTATTGAACTTGAATATCTGTATATAGGCCTTGCCTGGTAAGTCCTGGCTGTTGTTGATGGGCTGCAGCTGCAATGTCCTTCAGTGGGTGGCAGCTGTGGCTAGTGAAGATAACTGGGATAAAAGGGGGTGGGCTGGCTATCAGGGAGAGCTTTGGAGGGGCCCTGATTAAGAAGGAACAACATGCAGAAGGAGGAGTCTGTGCTGTGAAGATTTGCAGCCATAAGAAAACACTGAGGAGGTATGGGAGTTTAGAAATATGGTAACAACAGTATGGGACTCTAGAAATATAACAACAATATTGTACATGAAAATTACACTGTTCACATTCCAACCCTGTCCACTGAGGCTTCTGAAGGCAGTGAGATAGAAACCAATTATTTCGGAGGTATCAGCTCATGGTTATGGCAATACAATTCAACAGAGAACAACAGGTCTCTGTTATAATCACAGAATGTAAAACCTGATACTTTTCTAGCTTGTCTGGAAAGAAAAATAATTCTTTGCAGTGCTGTTATAAAGGCAAAAGAAATAGATTCAGAGGCCTATGCACAAGGACACTTTAAAACAAAAACTGACATTTGAAGAAAAGGCTACTTATTTCTCCAGACAGGCCACCCATTTCTCACAAGGTAGTATGTCCTTAGTCTTACTCCCTTCAGAAAGGGAACTTGCTCCTTTACTTTTCCAGTCTCTCTGTGGTCCTGCACATTTTGTGGAAGGGGATATTCCCACCCTGCTCTGCTAAACCCACAAGCCTCAGCTGGGCAGCAGATATGAACTAGAACTGCTGCTGAGAAAAGGCTTCACCCTGAGCTCAGCAGTGGCTGGTTTGCCTTGTTATCCCAGCAAACAATCTGTGTGGAGCTCAAATATCCTGCTTCCTCCTGTCCACCTGAGACAACCTGGATGAAACTGGAAAGCCAGACACAGGATAGTCAGGGCAGTAAGGAACATGAAGAGGAAATGCTTCACAGGACAGCACAGGGCAAACACACGACACAAATCTGCAGAAAATATGCAGGATTAGTTCTGCCTGTTGTGGTAGAAAATCTTTAAATCCCCATGGATGAACTGAAGAAGAAAGAAATAAAGGAACTGTACAGTAGCTCAACAGATCTTTTACATGGGCTGAATTTACAAAGAGATTAGGTTGGGATCTCAATTTCATTTTGTAGCTTCTTTAAGTATTCCTGAATATTTTAAATGCTTGTTTGAACAATGCTATTTGAGTTATCAATTCCATATGGATTTCACAATACAATTGGTTTGTGCTGCATGTGGGATAAACATTTAGCTCACAGAAGGAAGCACCTTTCAGCATGTTAACATCCACTGTCCTCTGGACAAGCATACCTCTGACTACAGCAAACTGGAGACTTTCTCCTTTCTTTAACCAATGCAATTGTAATGGTCTACTTAAGTGAATTAACATAAAATAAAGCTCGTGTCCCTATCAGTACTTCAGAAGCAGTGCTGCTCATAAAGACCAACAGATTTAACCCTGCAGGAACTATTTAACCAATACCTGATAGATGAACTCAGCCTACATTCAGGCAGAGAAGATGCATGCAGCATTTCAACACCATGAGCTGTTTCAGTAATTACCATCGTGCTGCAGAGCAATGCTCAGAAAGAAAGTAATGACTTTACTGTTGGACAACAGAAAGAACTCCAATCTGTACTAGAACTACCTTTGGGAAAAAAAAAATCCAGTACTTTATGGTAACATCATCTTCCAGGAACATCCTGAAGGACCAGCAGTAGTAAATAAGGCTGTCTGCTACCACTATGTGCCCTTTTAAAAACAAAGACTGGAGGTAATTAGGTTATGTCCAAATTCATCAATATGATGAAAGTGAAAAATAACAAAGATGAAGAAACTTCTGTTCAAGTGTGGAATAAAACACAACATGTCACGCTTAATCCCATTCTCCATACTGCTATTCACTCAATTTGAAAAGGAGAAAACCAGCAGGTTTTATATTAACTCTAGAAAACATACATTTGATCTCTGAGAAAAAAAAATAAATCAGTAATTAAAACAACTGTTTTGTCCCTCCCCAAGAAAGTGTTTCCAGTTAAAAGGCAGAGATACTTATGAAGTAGTGGGAAAAGTTAATGCACTTTGAAAGATTCCTGCATTCAGGCCTGCTTACATGAATAACTATGCACTTCAGCTCCAAAAACAGTAAAAAAAAGGATCATTTAACACTTTGTGCTGAAAAAGGTAACAAGAAGCAGATACAGAAAAAAATTTTAAAGTGGAAGAAAAAAATGTTCAGAAAACTGAAATTAAGTACTTCAACCAAATAAACTGGCTTTGGTGCAGTTTTAAAATAGGACATTTCTCGATCTGAGGATTTTAACCTCTAGTGAAAATTAAAATGGAAACAAACTAATTATAATAGTGGCTGAAACCAAGTTGTTACAATGCAACTTCACTAAGATCCTATTCTTCCTAGTTTATGTGGCAGGTGGGATGAAAGAATAGAAAACAGACTTTTATTTTCAAAAGCATCTACCTTAGGCTGAGAAATGCTAAGACGAATTTTTATATCCATTCAACCAAAAGGATAAGTAAATAAAACTGGAAAAAAAAAAAAAAAGAGCCACAGGCAAATATGTAAGCAGCTTGCATCACCTCAGCAATTTAAACTACAGTAGCTGCTTCTGGTTTCTCTCCACAAGAGTATTCCTCCCCGAAAACTTGATATTGTTTTCCACAACAGAATTTAAAACTTTATAAGTAATTCATAGCAGTGAATTCTGTTTCTCAAACAATTCAGATTAATCTTGTGGGTGAAATTCTGCCACTCTGTTGTTAAGGCAAAGCAGACTGGAGAATCTAATTCCATGTCTCTGCCTTACTTTCAGGGCAAGGTACAGAAAGTAACTTCAAGAGGTTGAGAATATTTCAAATAGTCATCATGATGTGTAGGATTGGGCAGCATCCAATTTCTAATATTAGAACTGACTTAATGGAAAGGAAATAGAGGAGAACAGAAATGGGGTACGATCATCTCTGAACCTGTCCACTATGATTTTCATACAAATTCTCCCAAATGTTAGTGTAGCAGAGCAACCTCCAAATTCACAGCTTTAGGGCCCCAAATCTTTGTGGGCAGAGCTGCAAGGTCACACCATCCCAAGCAGTCAGAGCCAGCACCAGACTCTACTGTACACAGGGTGACTGGAAGTGCTGCCAACTTGATTTTTGAAATAAGAATCGCCAGGAGTCATTTCAGTCCGCAAGCTTCATGCACAGTTTGAGGAGACTCTTACTCATGGTACTGCCTTCTTTTTGGTTTTTTCAAACTCCAATTAGCTCTCAGAAGATTTTTGCTTTAGCTTTTGATCATTCTCAAGTGCTTCATTTTTGCTCTGCTCTTCTGGATTCTTTGATGAATCAGGATTGTACCTATACAAATACCCATATGGACGAAGATGATAAATCAAATATTCCAAATGATACATAGTCACAGAGTCAACATAGTGGAATGAAACTGCTAGATCAGAGCAGCATCCAGGACCCTGAAACACAAAACAAAGCAAAACAATCAGCAAGAATTGCCAAGCATGCCCTGGATTAAAGATCTGGGGAGAATTCAAAGAAATACTTGATTTAATGATAAGAAATCCACTACAATCAGTCATATGTACACTTCAAAAGTTAATGTTAGGCAAGCAAAATGTACCAGCCATATCTGCCAAGGCATCCTTCCAAAATGAAGCTGACAAAGTCTCTTGCTCCTGTGATCAAGCCAGTGAAAAAACTAGCTGCCTTCATTAACGTCAAAGGTTTTCTGTTTTTCCATTTTTAATTTTTGATGCTGGGGTTTAAACAGCACAAAGAAGCAGCAAGCAGGCCTAAATGAGTAACATTTATACATGAAACAATAAATGCCTGTTACTTATGTCAGCATCCAGACAGAATGTATAAACAAAATGTGTGTGTACCTGCACCTGTTTGTGTTGACATATTATACAGTTTGGCAGTACTGTCAGTATCTAACTTCCTACTGATAAAAACCTGTAACAAGTAATTGCAGAATTTTCTTTTAAATGTCTTGATTTCATTGACATTCAAGAGCTATAGGATCGTTGTTAACAAATTTGTAAAAACTTTTATTTTATAGCTCTAGTTTGAGAACATTTTCCTGGAGCACAGTTTTGGGGTTTCTTTTTTCAGCAGCTTTGATTGCAGAGTTGCTAATATTTCAAATCCAACTGGAACGAAGATTAAATATTTAAAGACACCAAAGAGAACAATTGCTACGTAACTGTCATTGTTTCAATACTTATGAAGTTTGATCAATATAGTTTGACTTTGTCACCAGATGCAGTAGTCTCTGTCCAAGCACAGGTAGGACAGGACAGGACCACACAGGCAATTTCCATTCTGAATCAGTTACAGATGGAACTGTCCACAGCTCAGCCACCCAGCACTGCAGCCTTAGCTAAAGCTGCTGCCTCCTGACACACTAAATACAGTGTCATACATTTGCTTTAAGCTACAGAAATGCTTTAGCTGCTGAATACAAGTATAAAAATAGATTGCTGCTTTGCAATGAAAAAAATCTACTGAAGAACCAGACTCTTTTCAGCTTTAATATGTAAAAATTCCAAATCCTGTTTTTGAATTCTTTCACCTAATGCTAATTCACACATCACACGCTCACACACATCATAAGATGCACTTGACAAAATGGACACCAGGCTCCTCAGGACTCACCTCTACAGCAGGATAGTAATTGTAGTTCCAGTACCAGAATGTTTTTGGTAGGTATCCTCTGATTAAGTGATGTTCTGGAACGAACGGATGAAAGGTTTCTCTGCCACTCGTATCCCTAGAATCTCCTGCTTCCACATTGATGATCTCCATGCATTTTCCTAGTGCCAGATCTTCAATAGAGGAACTGTGAGTGCATTTGTTCGTTTTAAATGCAGCAACAAATCTCTTCAGAGCTTCTTTGCTCAGAACATATCCTGCTCCTCCACTCATGTAGCCCTGTTTCACATAAGGCTTAAACCTTCTCCCAAAGTATATTGGCTGGTCGGGACTGTATCTTGAAAGAAGCCATCTCAAATTGTCCAATATAACATATGTATCATCATCTGCTTTCATAAACCAATCAGCATCATCAAAATAATGGTCATATACATATTGAAAAGCTTTAATAGTCTTCCAGTACAGTTGATCCCTGCCTTCTTTGGTTTCTAGGCCCACAGCTGGGAAGTCTTTATTTTCCTCAGAGCTCATAAAAAGTACTTTATTACAGCGTTGGGCCCAAGTGGCCTTAACATGCTTGGCTTTCTTTTCTAGATTTTGAGGTCCAGTCATGACCCAACACAGTATTTTCACTTTGTGATACAATCCTTCTGCAATATTTTTATCCTCATCTAAAAAAAAGAGGAAAGTTGTAAAACCATATCAGACATGATTGCCAAACAACTAACAGCAACCTCCCCCTCCTCACATACTCTGTTTCTAGATAGAAAAGACATGCAGACAGAAAAGAGGCTTTTGCTTCCAAATGTACCAGTTAATGAACTCCACACTAGATTCTGGAAGGAAACAAACAAGACTCTCAAAGATTAAAATTCTTAAAGCTATTTCAATTTCACAAGATAAAGGAGAGTGTAAGAGTTATATCAAAATGAGTGTCTGTTCAGGGAAGTGTGGCTTTAGCAAACCTTGATTTCTACATAAAAACTGCTCACAGGCAACCTCTTTATGGTCTTGGAAGACTAATGAAAATTTTAAAACAGAGTATTTTTGCCATTCACAATGAATACAACTTAATTATTACAACACAGAAAGCAAATAAGCTCTTTTATATATATTCATGTTAACTAAAAAAACCTAATGGATATTTCTAAACCAGCAAAATGTGTTTTAAGCGTAAAGCAAATGGTAAACCAGAAACAATTTATCAGATTAAGTAACTGAGGATACTATGAAACTACTGTTATTGTTGATAACATGTTTTTATTTGCACCAATCCAGCAGAATAAAGACAGTTATCAGAGGTGTGAAACAATGTTTTTCAAAGCATTCATTGCTCTTAAAGAAATATTTTCACTTGATACATACAGAACGATTTTAGCTCACATAAAAGAATATTTCATGGACAGTGAAATCTGCATAACTGGTACTAAAATATTCCTGCTTACACTTTATGCAACTATAGATCAGACTTCTCTGTAACAATGTTCTACAATCACATGTGAAACACTCACACACTCATCTTACAACGTTTGGAGTTTAAATATGTCTAAATAACAAGTTCCTTCCTAACATCTTCAACAAATGCATTGCAGCGCAATTTTTCTCATCCAAGCTGTCCCTACTCAAACATTCTCTGTATTTGGGATTTAGAATGAACTCATTTAATGAAATATATAAAGTGTAAAAGTATTCCTGAAGTATTGGAAGGGTCTACCTTCCCTGGAAAAATAAAAATAACCAGAGTGCAAGAGAATTTCTCTGGCTTTGACTGCAAACAGCAATCTGTGCCTGGACTGCTGTGTAATCAGCTTGGCAAATCATGCCCACAGTGACTCCCTTTGCCCCCTGTTCCAAGTCTGCGTTTTACTAATTGTACCAAAAAGCAATTTTTAAAAAATTATATTTTGGCTTTATCTTAGAGGCTAGATCAAAAGTTAGAAGTTGTCCAAAATTAGCTTCTTAAGGCTAAAAAGCAATCTAGCCACATCTACAATGCTAGCAAAGATATCTGCTTAGCCAAACTGCCATTTGGGGTCAATAGCTCATTTGAGAAGTTACTGCTCCACAAGTCTGGATGCACAAGTTGGACAAACAGCTGGACTCTAAGGAAAAAAATTACTACTGTAGTAAAAATGTAAACAAAGAAAACTACCATTCAGTAGACCTCAGGAGAAAGAAGTTATTTAGATGTAACCTGAACATGAGGAAACTGAATAAAAATAATTCATATAAATTCTTGGCAGTGAAGAGCAATGTTTTGCAATGCATGAAAAGAGAGGACATTTGCTAACCAGCCAGGTGTAACAAAATACCTTTATGCTGTCCAGCATCTGCATTGAAATTCATTTGTCCTTGCAGCTGATTGTTGTCAGTATCTGCTGAGTGCTGACCATGTGGATCATTGTGAAGAACATGAGGCTGGATCTTAACCTGTTCTTCTAGTATAATGCTGAACAGAAGGTAGCAGACAAAAAATCCTATTGCTGAGCCGAAAGTGAAGGTCAGAAGGTTCATCAAAGACTTAGAAGAGGCCATCTCCTGAAGGTGAGACACTGTCAAAACCAAATGAAAAATACATTAGACTCAACATAGTAATCAAATCTAAAACTATAGGAAGAAATCAAGAACTAAATCTCTGAAAGCAGAGAACTCAGTTCTAGTTCAGTTTCAGCTGCCTCAGGCTTGCACAGAAATTTAAGTCCAAGAGCAATGCAAATATCAATATAAAATTGTACATCCATTGAGTGGCTGTACATAAAAAAACTATTAATTACATTTATACAACATTTAAACAAGAATGTATACACTGAAGTGCAGTAGCTTTATAAAACTGTAATATACATACACTTTTTTATTCTATTTTATTCTCAGCCTACAACACTGCACTTTAAAATATAATACCTGAGTCTATTAGGAAGCTAAAAGATGATGATCAATGGCAATCTACAGGTCAAGATACAAAATGGTGACAAGATGTTCTTAAAACTCCAGCCAAATGCATATTACAGGAATTCTTATCATACATCCATCACAGGCAGATTTTGAAGAGTTATAGAAGAAAATCTACTCCCAAAGTAGGGCAGTTGTCCTTACACTTTTAAGAATTACTGAGGATTGACTTTCAGAAAAAAAAGTAAGGCAACATTTGAATTTTCATATAGAAACACTAATCTTTCAAAGGAAGAGAAGAAGCAAGTAGATCAGCCTTGAAGCCTCTTCTACACTTCAAAAACTTTGTATTCCGGTAATAAAACACCCCTTCATATCAGCCACACCCTTGCTCCTCAAAAACTACAGGACTTCACTGACCATTTTTATTAAACCAAATCAGCAGCTATGCCTGCATAAAGGGAGTTCTATGCATCAAAAATGAGTGTGAATTTTAATATATTAAACACTTGAAAACCAATTTCAAGTTGTTGCAGGCTTTTCATCTTTGGAAAAAGTTATTTTCTAATAACTCATGACTAAACTACAAAAACATTGACTAATAAATACACATTGAATTCAAGCCAGAGCCTTACAAACAAGTCAATGATGTTCCCTCCATTAGGATCATTATTAATGACAGTGAGCAGAACCCAATTTAGTTCATGAGAGAGCCCAAAAAAGAAAATTATGGACTGCACAGAGCATCGATGAAAACCATCGATCAGAGAGGAGCTGCAGCCACCAAAACAACTCATTTAGCCTGCAGCCCCTCCTCTCACAGCCTGGGCATGTATTGGAAACAGCCTGTCTCCAAGCAAGCTGCATCAATCACTGTGCAGCAACACACACTCCAAACTCCAGCTATCTGTCTGCTCTCCTGCTCTCCTGAACACGTGTGTGCATCTTGTTGGGCTGGCACTGTCAGAAATCCATCAGATTCACTGTACACATGCAGATCAAGAACATTTGAGAGTGAAGCAGCTCTTACATGTGGTAATGCTTTTCTTTCCACACTGCTAGAAAAAGGGAAGAAATTTGAAAACGCAACTCAAAGCACAAAATAAAAATCAAGAAATACACAGGGCATATATATATAAAAAATCTTATAGCTGTGGTTGATAAGGAACTGTAGTTATTTAATATGAACAAGCACATTATGCAATTTTTTAATTGCACACTGTCTTCCCTAAATTCAGTACTACATCTTGGTGGAGACAAATGATTGCCTTTAGATATCATGTCACAAAGTAAAAAACTTACTGTCTAATCATTTGCGACCCAGACCTTGAAAAAATTACTTGGTTGACAGCTTTATTTCCAATGTCTTGTACACCACTAAATTGAGAAGAAAACATGAATATTTTTATCAAGTACCCCAAAAAAAAAAAAAAAGCCCATGCACACAAGTAGCCTATGACAATGCAAAGGATCTGCTGTACTATGATTATTTTTGTTTGTTTTTGCTTTCCCCATCCCTCAACACAAAGTCCCCTCAAAATTTGCAATATACACAAGGAGATGGCCAAAATAAAACAATGCCTTCTTTTGGTACATTCAAAGTGGGGAAATATACAAACCCATGCATGCCCACAGGGTACCTACACCACCTTCTAGAAGAAAAGGTTTCCACTGTTCTACTTTCCAATATTAGGTGTTTCTCTGCTATACAATTTCAGTTATCTGCTCCAACAGCTGTTAAAATTACTCTTGCTAGGAGAGAAAAAAAATGAAAATAACTTGAAAATAATTGCTGCTCATTTAAGTATGAAACTATGTACAACTGAATTCTATAGAAAAAAAATTAAATGTGCTGGAAATGCTGAGAAATGGAAAAAGCGCACCCATCACATTGGAAATCAAAAGCTGATTTGGCAGTACTTCACACACAAAGAGGATTTCTCAGGGCAGGTAGTCGCTGTATTTCATATTTGATACAAAATGCCTCTAATTACAGTTTTCAATCTAAAATGATCTGCTTATCATTCTATCAATTTTATACCAAAAGAATGGGTCACTATAAACATGTGTGGGTGTAGATCCACATGTCTATAAACTCCAACGGTAAACAGGACAGAAATTTTTCATTTTTTATGAAAACTTGATGTTTCACATAAATTGAGTATTTTAACTTGACAGCAAAAATAACACTACAGCATTACATTAGAAGAACCAGAAAATGCCTAAAAGGAAGGTCAGTTGTCAGATGATAAACATCCCCACTCCTTGCTGATATTCTCTTCTACACACGGATTTATTCTGGAGGAAGACAAGCAAAACAATAAAGGCCAGGCTGGATGAGGCTTTTAGCCACCTGAGCTAATGAGAGCTGTCCCTGCTCATGGCAGGGGGTTGACTTTAAAAGGAGTTGGATGATTTTTAAAGGTTCATTCTTCCTTCCAACTCAAACCATTTTGTGTTGCTACAAGTCTATGACATTTAGAGAAGGAAAAGTCTATTTTTACTTCTTGAGTTAAAAAACACCTACAACAAAAGGCTAGGTTTGATTTCAATTTATGCTCCACTGCTCTATCATGGAAGCTTAAATAAATACAGATATTTAGATATTCATGTAGGTAGCCCTATTCACATCAATCAAAACAACAAATACTTTCAAATTCTATCACAATGTAAGAGTCATTGAAGATTCGGTTCTAAATTTAGGTTTCCTGAGTCAACAATTTCTACATCTTGAAGCTTACAGAAAAACTATTTTTCCTGTGTTAGGGGCCGCTGAACCTGGCAGCCCACTGACAACAAGGCTGCTGCAACTCCATGTGCCAGATCCAGCCAGGCTGAGGATGTATTCCCAGAGCTGGGCATGCAAAGATGCAAATACACATGGCTGACCACAGAGATCAGCACAGATAAAAACAAGTGTTCATGCAGACACAAACATAACATAAAAGTGTTCAGGCAGACACAAACATGGCCTGGCCTTATGCTGCTCCTCCCCACAGCTGCCCGGGACAAAGGCCTGCTGCTGGGGAATATACACACACACACACACAGCCTGTGTGGTCTCTACACACACTCTGTACCTGGTCTGACCCTCAGCCTATTCAGCAGCTGAGCCTGAAATCCTCAGACCCCCCAGAGCCCCGCTCCTTGTCAAACTGACGACCCTCTGATCTCACTGGCACCTGTCCCAGCTCACAGCTGCCTCAAAGCCCGGCCCCCAAGCCTCTTAATCCTGCTCACTGCCTGGCCTGTGTGACACTCACGAGCAAGCACAGGCTGGCATCCTCGCCAAGGCTGTGCCCACGCACTCCGCTCTCCCTGTTAGGGGCACTGCAGGCACACGAGCCCCTGTGGCTCACAGCTCCTGGGCATTAGGGCCTCACTCACTGCAGTCCCTCCAGCTGCTGGCACAGAGATCCCTACAACTTACACCATCTCCAGCATCACTTAGAGCTCAGTATGCACACAAGAATAGGGTAGAGTCCTCTAGCCCAGCAGAACAGCTACAAAGGCACCTTAATGAGAAAAGGGCACACACTGTGGCAATCTGGCCTAGGACACAGTCAAACAGACTGACCAGGCCCTTTTATTTCCCCATACTTGTTCCTCCTGAAACCACCTTCCTCTAGCCCCTCCCAGGAGCACCCCATAATTTCATGCAGTCACAAGATGCTTGTCTCTTGCATCCCATGTGACCCATGTTCTCTAGGCAGTTAGCCCCCGATCTTGTGAGCTGTTCCCGACAGCCCTCCTGGGGACTGCTCCTGCTGCACGTCACACGTGGGCAGTGGGGCTGGTGGCTCCCCAGTGACAGCCCGGGGCTGACTCCTCTGATGACACTGTGCCTCTGTGCACCCTGCTGCTGAGCCTTCCAACACGCTCATCTAAATTACTGCTCTCAGCCTGCTGCTCTGATAAGGGCTTTGGGTCACTTCCACAAGCCAATGCAAATTTAAGGGAAAACCATGCAATACGAGCACATAGCAAGAGCTTGACCCCACCACCAAAAGAACACCACTCAACCACTTTTAAAATTAATACTTTTACACAAACTCAGATGAACTTGGACCATGTACAGAAACACATTAAACAAAATACCAAACAAACAAGTGGAAATACCCCAACCCCAAAACAACATAACGAAAAATCCCCCAAAAAACTCCACAGCCATCATATCAGGGATATTGAAATTTACAGAATGCAGAACATAACTCTGATTTTAAACATGTTTATCCCACTACCATTCCATAATCACTTTAAGATTCCTTTAAGTTAAACCCACATACAGGGCTGATTATTTCTTGTATCCCTTACTTAGGGGGAAGCTCTGAGGCCCCACGATGAAACAACGTAAATGTCCTTTGAGACCTGCATGATCAGCAATGAAATTGATCTCTACCACCACCTCCTTACCAGTCAAGCAACACATCAGAATAATTCGACCAAAATGTAGGAAAAAACGTAGCTAGCTGTGCAAACACACCTTCTTCTGCTCCTGAAGTCACATTTATTCCTAGTTGCTCTGTATATTCGTATGCTTCTGAAATGCAGCTAAATGCACAAGTTGTGCATTCGCTAACGTTGTCTGCATCTAGGATTTCCGTGAGCCTCTGCAGTTTCCCATCGACTAAGCACAGATCGTATCCTTCCACTTCAAATATCTGATGTTATAAACATTCCTTTCAAATTAATTCCTGCTTGTTCTACCAGAAAATACAAACCATCAAATTAAGCTACATCGGCATAGGAGGCCAACAACCACACTGAAACGAGACGTGTAACAGCCCACAGCACCGGGGAGCTGGAAGGAAGGTTTGGCTCCTCCTTCCTCATTCCAAAAGCTGACGCCGTCCTTCGGCAACAAGTGCCCGCGGCCGAAGCCCGGCTCCCAGCCCTCAGCCAGCGCTGCCCTCCCTGCGAGCGTCCGCCCAGGAAGTCCCCGCGGCGGGGGCGGGCGCGGCGGCTCCCGGGCACCGCGCTGCCTCCGCTGGGCTCCGGGGGACTCGCGCTGCTCCAGGCATGCCCCTGCTCTGGCGCCTCTGCTTCCCAGGCGTGCAGCCGGGCACCTGCCGTCCCTTCTCGCCGCCGGGGGGACACGCAGGGCCCGGTCCCGCGGGCGGGACGCTGCCCCGAGGCCCGACCCCGCTGCCGCCCCCAGCCCGGCCCGGCCCGGCCCGGTCCCCCCTCACCTCTCGGGCCGCCGCGCGGGGCCCCGGAGCGCGCTCAGCCGCGCGACAGCGCGCGGGCACCCGCTGGGCGCGCGCAGGGCAGGCCCCGGCCCGGGCCCCCGCCGGCCCCGCCGCCCCGCGCCGCCGGCCCCATCGCGCGCCCGCCCCGCGCCATGCCGCGCGCCGCCCCGGGGCGGGCCGGGGAGCGGCGGCGACGCTGCCCCCTCGCGCGCTGATTGGCCGGCGGGCCGCCCGGGGGCGGGGCCTCCCGGCACGCGCCGCTTTAACCCCGTTCCCGCCGCGCTGCCGACCCCGCCGCGTGGCAGCGCGCCCCCGCCCGCCCCGGCCCGTTCCACGGGAACGGGAACCCGGCCCTTCCTCCCCATCCGCCGGGAGCCCGGGCACGCCGCCGGGCCGCGCCGCGAGCAGCGCCCGCGCCTCCCGGCTGCGGCGGTGGGCGAGGGCGGGCGCCCCAGGCCGAAGCCGCAGTGCGAGAGCGGTGGCCGGCCTGTCCGCCCCGCGCTCGGCCCGGGCTTCGAGGGGTGCGGGGAAGAAATGTCCCGGCGGGAAGGGGAGGCGCGGGAGGCACTGAGGAGCCCCGAGCGGCAGCTCCTGGAGCTCCCGGCAGTCGGTGAGGGACACGGCCGGCGGTGCATGCCCCGGGCAGCGGTGCCCCCCGCCCCTCCGCCGCGTTACCTCGCTCCCGGCCGCCCGGTCCCGCCTGGCAGCGGCTGTGCCGGGCGCTCAGGCCGGGCTGCGGAGCTCAGCCCCTCATTTCCCCCACTTCAGCCGCTCTGGAGCCGCTACTCTTCCAAAATACCATTAGGCAACTGCAGGGATGTTGCTAGGATACCGAGCCCTCTGCAATCGCTTCTTATCTCCCTGTGCTAACGCTGCCTACCTTTCCAACAGCTCTTGACGTTTTTCTGTCGGTGATTTTCTTAGGAAAAAACATATTGAATAAGAGGAATTTTAGATTTGGAAGGTGTTTTTCATTACAGCGTGACTGAAAAAATAGCATTTTGCAAGCATTGGGTAGATAATGGAGCTCTGCAGTTAATAGATTGTGTTGTTGTTTGTGTATTTTTTAAGTACGGGTGCAGGTACGTGCAGAGAAGGACTGGTCCATGCTGAGGGCCATTAGTGTTTCTGTAAATAGAGGTCACTGCACACACTGTTCTTGGCTTTCCTGCTCTTCTTCTCTGTCCTTTCTCCAGCCTGTCCATGGGTTCAGTCCAAACTGTAGGTTTCCCTCATCATAGCTGTAGATCTGTGTATTTTCCTTCTGTCTCCCCTCTCCCCAAAACAATTATCACCTCAGGGGTGTGCCCTTTCATCTCCATTTTCATGTCTATTTTTACTTTTTTTTTTCTCTGGACAATGGGTCACACAGAATTACAGAACCATTTAGGCTGGAAAAGACCTCCAAGATGACCGAGTCTGACCTATGACTGAACACCACCTTCTCAACTAGACCATGGCACTAAGAGCCACATCCAGGCATGTCTTGAATGTCTCCAGGGACAGTGACTCCACACCGCCCTGGGCACTCCATTCCAATGTTTAACAACCCCTTCCATGAAGAAATTCTTCATGATGTCCAATCTGAGCCTCCCCATGTGCAGCTTGAGGCTGCTTCCTCTTGTCCTGTCGCTGGCTGCCCAGGAGAAGAGCACAGCCCTCCCCTGGCTTCAGCCTCTTTTCAGGCAGCTTTGGGGGTGACAGGGTCTCCCTGACCTTTTTTTTTCTCCAGGCTGAACACTCCCAGCTCTCTGTGCTGCTCCTCACATGACTAACTCTCCAATCTGTTCAGCAGCTCCATTGCTGTTTTGAGGTACTGCTGCTCCAGTACCTCAATGTCTTTCCTGAAGTGAGGCACCCACAGCTGGACCCAGCAGCTGAACTGTGGCCTTGAGTCATTTAGGAGATGCTGGATGTACCAATTTAGGAAGCTCCCACATGTCTCTGGGTCATAGTTTCTCATTCCTGCCCCATCCCACTCTGCTCCCCCCTTTAAATTAAAATTACAAGCAACTTGGTGAATAGTATCTTCTTGAACTAGTTTCATCAGAAAAAAGGGCAGGCTTCTTGTAGTGCAGTAGTTTGATTTGCTTTAAGAAAACCAACAATAAACAATAACAAAGACAAGCAATTGCAAAGGCTGTAAAACAAACAAAAAAGTATTTATCTATCTTCTTTTTTTCCTTTTTTTTACTCCTACCAAATTTGTATAGAATTACTGTCCATTCCATGTTCACTGCATGCTTTAAATTCCCAAAACAGATTAAGTGAAGTTTTCAAACTGTTTTATAACACAGATTATGCAGCATGTCTGAGTTGAATACAAGACTTCCATTTTGCCCAGTGAACTTTAAACCCTGGTCTTGCATCACAGGAGTTGTTCTAGCAAGGACTGGGGCCCATGTATATTACACACCTATAAATTTATGCATGAAGTGCTACACTTTTTTCATACTGACATGTTCACTGAGCTGTTTCACTCTGTTAGGCTAGTTTGAAAAGGAAATTTCAGAGAGAAGGTAGAATGTGCTGTAAATTAACAAAAGCCACATCTTGCCTGTTAATTGTGGTACCAAAAGTTTGCTTTAACAAATGTGACTGGCTTGGCTGTGTTGTAATGGCTGTTTAATATTTTAGATATATTAAGAGAGATATTTACATACCACATACATAAGCATGTTTCCTTGGTTGATCTTTCACCTAGGTAGAGATGAGCAGTCTCTCTTACAGCTCTCTGGCAGCAATCTCTTACGGTTCAGGGTAAGGAATTTAGGTTCAGGCCCTTCCAAGGGACTACCTTGCATGTGTAATGGTGGCAAACACTTCCACAGCTTCTCTGCAGCACTGCTTTGCTCAACACACTGCCTCTGGGTGGATGGCCAAGGGAAAAGCTGTTCTCTTGTTCTGAGGCAGAAGGAGCAGCCTGGTGCTCTGTCTTCCTTCCACGATGTGCAGATCTACGTGACCACAGTCCCTGTCTATACAAATGTACCACCTCTAGGGGAAATTCTCAGCTGCTGAGAAAGCCCAGCAGTGTTGGGGGACACAGTCATATCACAGTGGTATGGCAAGGAGATTCACACCACTTACCTTCCAGCACATGTGGCTAGGAAGAAATGAAAGGAAAATTAAATTTCTAGTATTTTAATTTTAAAAGGAATCAATCCCTTTGGTCTTCACGTCAGTAAACACAAAGAATGAGACCTTCCCCTACCTAGGAGGGCCAGCCATATGCAATATAAAGACTGTTTTGAGCAGAGCAAAAGCAGAGTAGGAGGCCCTTAATCCCTCTGCTCATCCCTAGGGAGGTCTCTGTGAGATAATTGTCTGAGCATTGCAGTGCTTACACCCTCTGGAGGGCACTCTGGAGTAGGGAACTTCCATAAAAGCCCACTCAAAGATCAGCTACTGCCCTCAAATCCTCCCATTTCCACGCAAGGGAGTCTGGAAACACAAAAAAGGAAAGCTCACACAAAATTAGGCAGAAGGCAAACTGCAACAGCTGCTGTGAGGCTCTGCAATTTGGCGACTCACTGACTGCGGACATACCTTTTAAATATGTATCTCAAGTTTAGCTGGGTGTATATTCAATTACCATCTGTTAAAAGTAGGGCAGTTATCCTCTGTTAATTGGGCAGTTTACTTTCTCTCTTCCACAACCAAGCCTCCTTCTGGGGAGATATCTTTGGTTAATGGGTTGAGTGTCACTGCATGACTGATAAAAATTACATCATCCCATTATGGGATACTCCACCCAGAGAGAAGAACCAAGCATTCCTACCTAAATATAATCTGAGATTTAGAACAACAGAAACAGCCTTTTCCACTGGATTCCCAGAGGAACAGCCTTTCCTCACTAAATTCCAAGAAGAGCAGCTTTCTTCTCCACTGAATTCCTGGAGACAGACCAAGCCCATCTACACCACCACATGACTTTCAAGAGAAAACTACACCCTTCTACAGGATCACTGCTCCAACAGAACCACACCTGTCACTGCAGGAGGACTGCAGTCATCACTCAACCAGACTGCTACCACCTCCCTGACCCACAGGGTGACACGTTGTATTCTGACTCTGTCTGTGGTTTTGATTGTACTATTGCATTTGTATTTTTAAATTTTCCTAGTAAAGAACTGTCATTCCTATTCCCATACATCTACCTAAGAACTTCTTAATTTCAAAAATTATAAGAATTTGGAGGGAGGAGGTTTATATTTTCCATTTCAAGAAAGGCTCCTGCCTTCCTTAGCAAACACCTGTCTTTTCACACCAAAACAATATGTAATTGGTATCTAATAAATATCTGTGGTGAAACTGATTGCTTTCTGTACATAGCTTTCTACAAGCTAATGGTTGTTAAGGAATGATGTTTTCTTAACATTTTGTTTAATTTTAAGTAGTCTTATATTGATGGGATTATCCATCATTGAAAGAAGACATGTAACAATCAATTTTACAATTACTTTTACAGGTCATTAGCAAGACCATGAAAATATTTATTATATAAGTAATTTCCATTTTGACTGAAAGCTGCTTTTGTGTCTTCTTTTCACTCCTATTTGATCAGACAGCCAGATTAAATTGAATGCCTTTCTTGTTTAATATTATTAATAAAGGATCTCACTAACTTGATGTCCTAGGTTACAATATAAAGAAGTATTCTATTCCCACCCTCAAGAGCTGCTGAAACCAGGAGGGGCATTGTTTTTCCTTATCCCCTGCTAATGGGCCCATCAATGCCTTGCACATGACTCAGAGATAATTCCCTCCAGGAGCCATTTCTGTTTAATCAGAAATGGGCTAATCAAGAACCCACCGTGTGACTCAGAACAATATCAGCCCATTGTGAGATGCTCCACCCAGGGGGGAGGAGCTAAACATCCTCACCTGGATATAATTTGGGTTTTGGGACAGAAGAGGCAGTCCTTACCCACTGGTTTCCAGAGAACAAGAGCTACCAGATCTTTTCTATGGGATCATGACTTCAACAAGGCCATTTCATCTGGATGCTGCTACCACCCTAACTAGTAGGGTGTCAGGTTGTATTCTGACTCTGTCAGTGGTTTTTTTCTT